GCTCTATTCAGCTGGCTTTGGAACACACCGTGAGAAGGTGGGGGCTGGGTGGTGAGGGTTACGGGGGCGAGAAACGCAAGAGTAACGCAATAGTTACTTTTACTAGTACTAGCTACTTTTATTGTGGAGTAACTCAGTTAGTAACTCAGTTACTTTTTGGGAGAAGTAACTAGTAACTATAACTAATTACTTTTTCAAAGTAACGTGCCCAACACTGCTATTCAAAAGGACACAGAGGTGCTTGTACTGTTTGCAGAGGATGAGGAGAGCCCACCTGCCCCCGCCCATTCCCACAAACTTCAACCAAAGCACCATAGTAAGCATTCTGACCAGCTTTCTCACTGTGTGGTGTGGAGGCTGCAGCGCCTCACACTGGAAGAAGGTCAGAAGAGTGGTGAGCACAGCAGAGAGGAACATTGGGGCTCATCATTCCTCCATAAGACATTTATTCCCAGCACTGCATGTCCCGAGCCCGTTACATCATCAATGACCCCTCACACCCCCACCATGAATTGTTCTTCCTGCTGTCCTCTGGGAAGAGGCTTTACTACATTCAATGCAGGTCCAGCAGATTCTGCAACAGTTTCTTCCCCACTGTCATCAGTCTGCTGAACTGTTGAAAAAGAAACAACTCTAAATCATGTAACAGTCACAGTCTCTGCACATTTGCACCAAATATAATAATGCTTTGAACTTCCATTTCAATTCGTTTTTTGCACCATGTTTTTTTTTCCCATACTGTTTACATTTTTTCATTGCTGGACTTTATGAAATGGAAATGTTCATTACTGTCTGAAAAGCTGTACTAAATGAAATTTAATTTTGCATACACTCTGTGTATAAAAAATGACAATAAAAGTTGTCTAAATTCTTAAGCAGCGTATTCTACTTGTTGATTAGTAAGTTTAGTTTATATATTATCCACAGAAATAAAACAAGTAACATGTTAATGAGATAAACTGAAATAAAGAATCAAATATTTTCACCTCACTCTGCAAAATATGCTATAAGCTCACAAACAAGAAAATAAGTATACCTTCTATAATTGTTGGGCAATTTAACTTTAACTAGAGCTCAGATGAAAGTATTTTTTGCTCTCTGTCCCTCATCATGTTCATAAAGATTTTTATAGTAAACCTTCACTTCATGTCTTGCAAAGTTAGCTGGAGCTTACCGTTCAGTCGAATAGAGTCAGCATCCAAAATTTACCGCTTACCTCCGCCTGTGTTTTGCCTTCCACCTGTCCCAAAGTACCATGTGCACCAATCTCCACTGTTCCAGGCGTTTGGTGTAACTGTTTGGGTATACGATATACAATGCAATAAAAAGACAGACAGACAGTTTGAGACTGAACAGCCAGTTTGGAATTCTCCAGAATGCACATAATTACTCTCAACCTGTGGTTGTGCTCTCAGTTTGTGTTTTGCAATGCTGGGTTGTATTTTTCCTTTTTTTGTGTCATCATCATGTTGGCTGGAGAGATTTTTGTGATACCAGTACAGAATTGCAAATACAATGTCAGAGCACTTCAAAGATACATTTAGATATTATAAGATAACCAGCAGAAATCTGAAACAAAATGAGTTTTGAATGTAACAATAAAGAAAAATGCCAAATTTCTTGACTTAAAGCATAGGAAAAGCAAAGCAGTTATTTATTTATTTACAGGTGTTCTATATATATTTTTTTACATTGTACAGTTAATGAGGAACAGAAAAGTGCAACCTTTGAGGCTATATAGCTTTTAATCAGGGAATGTTTTAATAATGAAATGATTGTTAAAAACTCTTAACTTAGCACACAGAACAATAATCTGTAATATATTTATAACGCTCTATTACTTTATGATCTATAACTATAAAACTTGTGCAGTGATTGTTTAATAAAATAGTAGAGCGTAAGATAAAGGGCTAATGCGCCAAATAATATAGAGAAATAATTTTATATATTTTAGCTAATGCTCTTCCTTAAACATGTATAAAATCAATCAGGATAAAACATAGTTATTAATAGCATATAACCAGTTATAAAAAAAAAAAGTCTTACATGCTAAAACATATAACAATATTTTTAACAAGCACCACTTCCTCTTAAAGTCAATATTTAATCATCACCAACAAGTAGGATTGTGTATAAAGCTCATTTAAGATGATCACTTTTGATGAACACTGCCTTTAATGGACATTTTAATGTTTGAATATGTACACTCATCAGATGTCTCCCTCTTATTCTTCCATCTTGTAGGTTTTCGTGCAGAGAAGTTTAGTGCCACATAGTTCATCCCATCTTCTTCACTTTCCCGCTAAAATGTGTAAGACATTCCAGTTAGTTGGATAACTGAAAAGCAATTTATTTTCAGTTTGAAAGTTGTAATTTATTTTCAGTTTGAAGTTATAATTTAACACCCATGAAATGAGTGTTAAATTGCAACAGAGATGCATAACTTTATCTTAAACCAGTTAACTAAAATCTGTCTCTTTCTATCTCTGCTGTATCACTGAACAACTGCAAAATTATTATATTAATCTAAGCCTTCAACTTGTATGTTAGATCCAGCTACAAATAATGTGTAAGTCGCTTAAAGTTGCTTCTGCTTCAGATATCAGATTTTGTTCAGCCTTACAAAAGAGGAGCTTAATTGCCAGAAGTGACCTAATACCAATATTGCATGGTCTCTCGGGTAACTTCATGAAATGGACCCACATGGGAAAAGATTGCATTTTAGTGAAGACAACAGTCCTTTTTAACCCGGGTTGGAAAATATATATATATATATATATATATATATATATATATATATATATATATATATATATATATATATATATATATATATATATAATACAGCAATAAATGCTCCGCAGTGCAAACAGCAATACTAATAGTTAGCTTTCAAAGACTTTTTAAAAAATCATGATGTAGAATATCTAATTTTATCTGATCCCCAATATATGATTAGATCATCCAAATTGCACGTAAATTGCAGCGATTGCAAAATTGGAATGAATTTGACCTTATATCATTGGATTGCATTCCCCATTCTGAAGGGGTTAAGGTTTAGTGACCTTAATGCTGATGACCCAGGTTAAAATTGGATTTGAGTCAGGAATGGCAGCTGTTGAAAAAACTTTGACAAATCTAGGCCTGTGACAACACCTGAAGAAAGGATACACAATTATTAGACATGCTCTAGATGAATAGTCGCAATATATTATAGGTATCATTGCAATGTTGCATGTTACTTTGAACTAAATTTGACTAAAGATGTTCAGCTGTGTACTCTTGAACATTTCATAATTATGTTATAGGATGGAATT